GACTAAGCTTAGCTTTTTCCAGGTTTCTTCTTACTATTTGTGAGGGGATATAGAATATAAGCTCTGGCATGTCTATATAAACACAGCAGATTAGTTATTAAGACATATATTTGAGGACTTCAGTCCTCCATTCTGGCTTTCTATGATAGGAGAGTTAAGCTTTAACTTTTTCATCTGAAAATAAGTATGGTAACAACAAAATCTTTTTGAAAGATTTTAAAAAGATGATTCATGTAAAGAGCTGATGGAAGTAGCTAGCATGAACTTAGCCTTCAAGTTCTATGTAAGCTCCCATAGGACAAGAAGTTTTCTCTTTTTTATTCTCTACTACATCTTCAGTTTCTAGAGTGAAGTCTATAGAGAAATAGGTAGGTACATCATGAATTTTTACTGGAATGAATGAATGAACGGTAATTTTTGCTTTGGTAGTGATGGTAGTATTTTTATCATTCGTTAGTAATTCAGCAATTACTCTTTGTTTGTTTGTTCTAATTAGTTATACATGATGGTAGAATGCATTTTGACATATCATACATAAATGGAGTATAACTTCTCATTCTTCTGGTTGTACATGATGCATAGTTACAGAGGTCTTACAATCATATAGGGTAATATAGGGTGATAATGCACATATAGGGTAATAATGTCTGATTCATTCTACTATCATTCCTACTCCCTCCCCTCCCTTCACTCCCCTCTGTCTAATCCAAAGTACCTCTATTCTTCCCTAGCACCCCTGTTATTGTGAATTAGCACACACATATCAGAGAAAATATTTGGCCTTTGGTTCTTTGAGACTTGCTTATTTTGCTTAGCATGATCTTCTCTAGTCCCATTCATTTACCATCAAATGCTATAATTTCATTCTTCTATAAGGCTGAGTAATATTCCATTTTTTGTGTGTGTATAGAATATTGTGTATATATACCAATTTCTTTATCCATTTATCTTCAACAATTTTTCTTAATGGTGTAATATATGCTGAGGATATATTATTATAAGGTTTGGTAATATGTTGGAGGAATGTTGAAGGTTTAAAATTTCTCTCTTATTATATATTCTATTTTCTCAGTGAATAGGAAGCCAATGAAGAGGAGATAATATGGGGATTATGGGAAGTTTGAGATGTAATGCACAGAGAGATTGAAAGATATATATCTCCATTCTTATTCAGCAGCAGCAGCCTCTAAAACTGACTCGTCTACTTAACATCTTCTTTCTAATCTGCTTCCCTTCTTTACTCCCCACGTGAATCCTAGGAAAAAAATAAAAAAAAAACTCATGTGTTATTCTCATATAAGACAAATTAGATTTTTATTAAAAATTATTGGAGGTGTGCAATGTTTGATTTTTTGTTTTCACTTGGCTAGGCCACGGTGCCCAGATATTTGTTCTAATGCTAGTGAAGAGGTCAATGTGATGGCATTTTTAAAGGAGATTAACACTTAAATCAATATAATGTGAGCAAATCAGATTACTCTCCATAATGTGGGTGGATCCCATCTATCAGTTGAAAACCTTAAGAGAAAAATACTGAATTCATCTAAGAAAAAAGAAATCCTGCCTCCAGACTACTTCAAACTTGAGCTGAAAATCAACTTTTACCTTGGTATCCAGTCTAATAGCCTGTCTATAGAAATTGAACTTGCCAGTCCCCCAAATTGCATGAACTAATTCCTCAAAGTAAATCTACATTGTAGATAAATACAGAAAGAAACAGATGAAATATTGAAAGAAATACATATATAGATAGATACAGATCTAACAGTTTTAAATTAATATGAAGCTAAATATTATAGATTATTTATCACTTTTACATACTTTTGTATTTGTTATACTTCAAAATAAAATAATTGTTAAAATTATTTTAAAATTCATGACCATATTGTAAGCCACAGAAACAATTGATCCCTCAGAGATGCTGCCTTGGTTTGAATGTGTTCCATGAAGTTCAGGTGTTGGAAACTTAATGCCAATGCAACAGTGGTCTCTAATATTTGTCATTAGAACTTTACCCTCACAAATGGAGTAATGTCATTAAAATGCAAAACTACAACACAGGAGAAAATTAGATGATCACGCAAGCAATGACTTATTACACACAACACAGATGGCAAGATTCATGAAAGAAATCATTGATAAGCTATATTTCCTGAAAATCAGAAACTTCTGCTCTGTGGAAGACAATGCCAAAGAAAACAAGAGGACAAGCCATTATCTGGGGAAAATATTGTAAAAGAAACATCTGATTAAGGACTGCAATCCAAAACACACAAAGAAGTCTTAATAGTCAAACATAGAATAACAAAAAATTCATTAATAAATGGTCAAAGGACTTAACAGGTACTTCATTATAAAAAATAAAATGACAAACATAAAAAGATGCTCCACTTCATATTCCATTAGGAAAATGCAAAGTAATAATAACAGTGCTGTACACCTAGTAGAATGACCAAAATGTAGAACATGGCAACACCAAATGCTGGTGAGGATGCAGAGAAACAGGGGCTTGCATTTATGCTGGTGGGAATGTAAAATGGTGTGACCTTTTTGGGAGAGAGTTCAGCAGCTTCTTATATGCTATTTCCATATGACCCACCAATCATGCTCCTACACACACACACAAAAAAAAAAAAAAAAAAAAACCCAAACAAAAAACATACAAACAAACAACAACAACAACAGAATAGTTGAAAACATGTCCACACCAAAACCTTCACAGAGATGTTTATAACAACCTTATTCATAACTGACAAAATTTGGGAGCAAATGATATACCTGCCTACAGATGGATGGATAATAAACTGTGCTATGTTCAGAAAATGGAATGTTATTCAGTGCTTGAACAAATGAGCTCTCACACCATGAAAGACATTGAGAAAAGTTCAATGCACCTTACTAAGTGAATGAAGTTGATTCAGAAAGGCAACATATTTTATGATTTCAATTAAATGGCAGTCTGGAAAAGGCGAATTATAAAAACCATAGGTCAGTGGTTGCCAGTGTTTGGGCTGGCAATGGAATGAATAGGCAGATCACAGGATGTTTAGAGCAGTGAAAGTATTCTGTCTGACACTACAGTGGTAGATATATGTCATTAAACATTTGTCCATATGATACAAAACACCAAAGGTGATGCCTGCTGTAAACCTTAGACTTTATGTGACTATGATGTGTGAATAAAGTTCATGCACTGCAGTGAGTCTACCCTCTGGTGGAGGATGCTGGTAATGGGTGAGCCTGAAGGGAGCAGTGGCTAGAGTATGTATGTGAGAAATCTCTGGATGCACTTCTCAATTTTCCTGTAACTTAAAACTACTCTAAAAATAATTTAGTTTTTAGAAATCAGAGTGCAGAGTTGCTAATATGTGATGGCTGCAACAAAGGAAGATATGAAAAATAATATTTAAAATGGGCAGATATATGAATGGATAATATACAGAGAAAAACAAAAATGAGTTAAATATGTTAAGGTAAACTACATCTGATTTATAATTAAATGAATTACAGATGGATGTGAAAGCTGAATTATTAAGCAAAAATTAAAAACCTTGATAATACAGAAGGTTTGGGGGAAACAGGTATTTTTCCCATTCACTGATGCTGATGGTGTAGGTTCGTGAAACTTACCCAGAGGACAATTTGGTGAACCATAGAATCATATAGACTACAATAAATATGTCCCTTTTCTTGAATAATAGTTTACTTTCCTACATTGAGTAATTTACTATGATATTTTTCTATTTTAATTATTTGGCTCTCGTAATTTTTAAGGTGATAATCCCCATTCATCAAAGACGTTTTCAATTTTCTTTCAATTTTCGTCTGGTTTGGGGAAGTGATTATTGCTTATTATAGAGGTGGTGACAGAGACTGTAGATGGATTGCTACATAGACATTTTCTCACTAGGTCTTCCTCTTTTCATCCTCTCTTTTAAATACTTTCAACACACACACACACACACACACACACACAGCACCAGTTTCCCCAGTGATTTGAGGATATTGTTGCATTTGATTTTGAATCTTTCCCACCACAGTTCATACACACATGTGATGCCCCTTGGTAGCTTCTTTCCCTAGTTCCAGGTTTCATCTTCATTGGTTTGCCATGAAAGCTTTCATTCCTCCATATACTTCTCAGCCCCTATATTCTGTGAGTTTGTGTCTTTTCAATTTCTTTTGGCATTTCACAAGGATACAGGATAAAAATATCTGCTTAACTTTTTACTTCCACTGAAACTTAACTCATTTGAGCCTTTGTTAGAAAGAAAAGCAATCCATGTGACTGGCCAGAGCTGCTCATCATTTGGACATGGGACATATCTTCAATTATGCCTTACTCCCTCCCTGTCTTTTAAACACCAGCCTGTGTCTACCAACTGATTTATCAAAACAGAAATCCTTCTTATATATGATGCCACTCCCTTTCCCCTCTTTGCATTGCTATTGCATGTGAAATTCTGTTCTTCCTCTTTTCCTCTTTCTCCATTGAGAATCTTAGAGCTGGGCACAGTGGTGCACACTTGTAATCACAGCTACCCAAGAGACTGGGGCAGGAAGAACCCAAGTTGGAGGCCATCCTGGGAAACTTAGCAAGATCCTGTCTCAAAAAGTAAAAAGGGCTGGGGGTGTAGCTCTGTGGTAGAGACTATTTGGGCCCAATCCTTAGTATCACAACATAATTAATTAATTAATTAGTCTTGGAAGAACCCTGGTTATTTGGGGTTGTAGCCCTCCAAGTACATCTCTTTCCATACTCTGTTAGGGGATATTATGAAGATGCCACTTTCTCTGGCATATTTGGTTCTCTAACAATAGAACATGTCACAGCAATGTCTTCCAAGAGAAGCTGGAACAAAATGTGGAATTTTGTCTGAAAGGACAAGCGAGAAGATCACTTCATTGTTTATGTAGTTTACTTTGAAACTACTTTGGCTCTGAATGAAGAGCTGTCTTTCATTAATGAAGAGTGGATTGGGGGATGGCCACTTCTTCTTCTTCTGTTCGGGATATGTGTATGATTTTTCATTAGCCAGAGAAACTGAGGGGAACCCACCGTAGGTGTGCAGAAACCAGAGTGAATACCAGAGGCAGACACTCAACAGCCAGGTCCCTGGTTGCTGCTCAGGGTTTGTGCTCAGCTCCCCCTGCAGTTTCTGCCACTGTGTCACCCAGGGCACAGTAGTACACAGCCGAGTCTGACTCTTGGACACAGTCTTTCTCCAAGTGGAAGGAGGTGGCTTCTTTATTGTACGTGGCTTGAAAACCTCTGTTGCTGCCCTTCTCATTGGCCTTTGAGACTCTGAAGAGGAGCTGTAGACCTTCTCCAGGGTATTGAAAATACCAGAACAGAGAAGGGTACCCTGTGGCTGTATAAGTACAGTTTATAGTCAGGAAAGACCCTTCTGACACGGTCATTTTATCTTCTATCTGGGTCACTGAGTCTCCATGGATCCCTCCTGGTGGAAAAAAGAAATCTGGATCACCCTGAGATAAAACTCTTAGGTAAACTTATGATTAAAGATTTTGTTGACATCATATAAAAAGCAGTTACAACTTTAAAAGGAATTTTACTTACCCAGAAGGAGTATCACAGTCACTATGCATGGAGAAGCATTCATCTTGAGTGTCACAGAAATAATGTTCTTGATTCTGAACGTGAAGAAGATTGACCTCACAGTGAAATGAAAAGTCTAAACCCACAATTCACCCAGGAAGTGAGCTAGTGAGAGGGAGCTGCACCCCCTGGTGGGGAGGGACTGAAATGGGAAGAATGATTTCCTAAACTCCTTTCAGAAGTCAGAACTATGGCTTTATCTCAGACCTTTACAAAGCACCATCAGTCTTCACATGGCCCTTGTAAATCTAAGCGACAGCTCTCATAACCTCTAAGGGATTTTTTGTTCTTAAAACTACCTGATTTTTGGAAAATCACAACAATAAATAAAATATACAACTTGATATGATTATTACTTAATAAGATCAAAAATTTATAAAGATTTTTTATTTTTTAGCAAGTCAAGGAAGAAAGGATTTAGAAACATGAAAGCAGCTGAAAATTCAGGGAAGTGTCTATTTCTGTCCTGGTTATAACTCAATAATCTTAGAGAATGAGCTGTGGGACTGTGGGGTGGGGCAGGAGTAGGAGGTGGGCATGAGCCTCTCTTGGCCTCATCATTCACTAAGTGTGTACTTTGGGCAAATCACTAATTGTTTTATGCCAAAAAACTATTTTTCAAGATAGTGATTATGATATTGCCTTTCCTATTATTTGACACTTTAAAGACTCTTTCTGAACTGAAATTCTTTAATAGAGCACCCCAGGAGGCCTCTATAGTTGAAAAAATCAGTTGCCTTGATTATTTTAATACAGGTCATTATACTTATGTAACTATTGAGAGCCAAGCTACAACCCATTGAAATTTCATGAAGGGTTTTGGGATGAAATCATAGGAAGTAATAAGAATTCCAGTTGTTATTGAGGGATTCTATGTTTTTCAGCACTGTGTCCCACATGTAGAGGAGTGAAAAAGACATTTCCTAAGTACACAATTCATATTTGTTAAGTGAAACAAAAATAATGAATAGGTGGCATTTGGTTGAGAAATCACAATCTGGAAGGCTATATTTCCTCTTTTCTAAAATAATATCAGTTTTAGGGATGTTTTCTACTTAATAAGAAATTTTCAGCAGAGAAGCCACAGGATCTAACTAATATTCAAATAATCCTGAATTTCAGAATCATTGAAAAATGTGAATCATAGGCAGAATAAATACCATAATTTAAGTTATTGAATTGCTAGAGAATAATCAGAGATCAATGTCTAATGCCCCCATTATTTCACGGAGAGCAAGCTTAGGTGGCCAGCTGTGTAAATAAAGTGAGTACTAATGCTGGACTGTAACAGAGGTCAAGACTGAAGGTTCTTGAGAATCTCCATCTTTTCACAGAGATGGAGGCCTAGCCCAGTATGTATTCTGGAATTCACTCTCCACAGAGTTGAATAGAGGAGCCCATGAGTCCAGAGTAAGAATGTGAATAGTTTGTTATTTTTCCAAATGTATTTCATAATTCCTTTTTCTATTTCTATAAGAAATGATGATGGGATTGTAATTGGAATCACATTGACTCTGTACAGCACTTTGGCTAGTATGGCTATATTAATTTTGCCTATCCAAGAGCATGGGAGATCTTTCCATTTTCTATGGTCTTCTTCAATTTCTTTTTTAGTCCCTCGGTTTTCTAGTGTTTGGAACATTAAAGGGTTCTGTATTTTGTCAAATGATTTCTCTACATCAATTGATATAATCATATGATTGTTATCTTTAAGTCTATTGATTTGGTGAATTATATTTAGTGTTATTTATCTTTAGTGTTCTGTAGTTTTCATTGTAGAGGACTCTCACTTCTTTTGTTGACTTCCAAGTATATTTTTTGAGGCTATTGTAAGTGGGATAATATTCCTAATTTCTCTTTCAGAGGATGCATCACTGATTTATAGAAATGTATTTGATTTATGGGTATTGATTTTATATCCTGCTAGTTTGTCAGCAAATAATGATAGTTTGAGTTCTTCTTTTCCTATTTGTATCCCTTTAATTTCTTTCATCTAATTGCTCTGGCTAGCATTTCAAAGACTGTGTTGAATAGAAGTGGTGAAAGAGAGCATCCCTGTCTTGCTCCAGTTTTTAGAGAGAATGCTTTGAATTTTTCTTCATTTAGAATGGTATTGACCTTGGGTTTGGCATAAATAACTTTTAAAATGTTGAGGTATGTTCCTCCTGTCCCTAGTTTTTCTAGTGTTTTGAAGATGAAAAGATTCCGTATTTTGTCAAATGCTTTCTCTGCATCAATTGATATAATCACATGATACTTATCTTTAAGTATATTGATGTGATGAATTATATTTATTGATTTCTGTATGTTGATCAAAACTTGCATCCCTGGAATGAAACCCACTTGATCATCCAGAATAGCCAAAGCAATCCTTAGCAAGAAGAGTGAAGCAGAAGTCATCACAATACCAGACCTTAAACTATACTATAAAGCTATAGTAACAAAAACAGCATAATATTGGCACCAAAATAGATTGCAGACCAATGGTACAGAATAGAAGACTACAGAGACAACCCACATAGATACAGTTATCTTATACTGGACAAAGGCACCAAAAACATATATTGGAGCAAAGAGCTTCTTCAACAAATGGTGCTGGGAGAACTGGAAATCCCATATGCAGCAAAATGAAAATAAACCCCTGTCTCTCACCGTGCACTAAACTTAACTCAAAGTGGATCAAGGACCTAGGAATTAGACCAGAGACCCTGTGCCTAATTGAGGAAAAAGTAGGCCCAAATCTTTATCTCTTTCAGATTGAGCCATGACTTCCTTAACAAGACTCCTAAAGTACAATAAATAAAATCAAGAATTAATAAATGGGTTGGACTCAAACTAAAAAGCTCAGCAAAAGAAACAATCAATGAAGTGAAGAGAGATGCTATAGAATGGAACACATTTTTTGCCACATGCATGTCAGATAGAGCATTAATCTCCAGGACATATAAAGAACTCAAAAAACTTAACATAAAAAACAAACAAACAACCCAATGAATAAATGGGATAAGAAGCTGAACAGACACTTCTTAGAAGAAGATATCCATTTGATCAACAAACATGAAAAAATGTTCAACATATCTAGTAATTAGAGAAATGCAAATCAAAACTACTCTAAGATTTCATGCCACACCAGTCAGAATGGCAGTTATCAAGAATAGAGACAATAATAACTGTTGGCGAGGATGTGGGGGGAAAATACACTCATACATTGTTGGTGGGACTGTAAATTGGTGCAACCACTCTGGAATGGAGTATACAGTTTCCTTAGAAAATTTGGAATGGAACTACCATTTGATCCAGCTATCCCATGCCTCCATCTATACCCAAAGGACTTAAAATCAGCATGCAATAGTAATGCAGCCACATCAATTCATAGCAGCTCAATTCACAATAGCTAAACTGTGGAAGCAACCTAGATACCCTTTAATAGATGAATGGATAAAGAAACTGTGATATATATACACAATGGAATATTACTCAGCATTAAAAGAGAGTAAAATTATGGCCTTTTCAGGTAAATGAATGGAGTTGGAGAATATCATGCTAAGCGAAGTAAGCCAATCCCCCCAAGCCAAAGGCCGAATGTTCTCTCTGATAAGCGGATGCTGATTCATAATGGGGTAAAGGGAATGGGAAAAAAGGAGAAATTTTGATTGGGCAAAGGAGAGGGAAATGTGGGGAGAGGTCATGGGGGAAGAAAGATGGTGGAATGAGATGGAAATCATTATCCTAGGTACATGTATGACTGCACATATTGTGCGATGCTATATTTTGTACAACCAAAGAAATGAAAAATTGTGCTGCAATTGTGTACAATGAATCAAAATATATTATTCTGTCTTATATACTAATTTAAATAAATAAATAAATAAATAAATAAATAAATAAAAATAATATGAATAGTTTGCCACTTAAGACTTAAGTAAGAATTTCAGGCCCAGTTATTCTTTGAATTCATATTCTTTCTCTCTCTCTTTTATCTTCCAAATCATGTCAAAACCGATGCAGAACTATACCAGAAAGGAATTCTAAAAAATAAGCTACACATTTCTATTCTGATATATGGGAAAAATGAAAAATAGGTTGGAAAGATGCTGAGTTATAAAAAAAAACAAAACAGCATAGAGCTTCAGTTTTTCAGAGTGAAGAGTTCAAGAGGTGAATGGTTGCACAACAAGGTGAATGTACTTAATACCACTGAACTGTACAATGATTCAGGTAGTCAACTTCATATTGTTTCTTTTACCATAATTTAAAATAGTTTTTTAAAAATGTATGATATTTTTCTTGCTTTCTAATTTCAACATAAGAGGATTTTGCAATATGAAGAAACTTATTGACCAGCCCCTACCATTATCATTTTAGGGCATGAGAAAGCGGAGTAGAGTTGGAAAAAGGAAACCACAGAGAAAGAGGATGTGGGGTTGTGGAATATGGATGGAGCACAGAGGGCCTGGGGTGTGCTTTCAGAGGAAAGGTGAAAAGAAAAGACAAAAGCAGAGGGAAGAGATTTCATGTTCTATCCCCTCACGAAGCCCCTCTAAGAGCCTGTAATTACTGGTCATTTTATGAATAAAGTTGGTAGAGGGCAGGCAAACTCAAGAGTATAGAAATTGAGCTCCTTCAAGCTAGAGGTTTTAATAAGGCCATTAATCGAATGAATTCTTAGCTCAAAATTAGTCATAGTAGGCACTCAATGAAATTTTTTTCAATAAATGGACATATAAATAAATACAATTTCTAAAACTCAAGCTGCTTTCTATTAATATATTGCCTCTTTTTAATCTAAATATTCACATTTCTATTTGAGTACTTTTTTTTTGTATTATGCTATCTTTTTAGATTCAGAGTAAGAATAATATAGGTCCCAAAACTAAAATTTACTGGTCAATGTGGTATGAATGAATTGCAGTTTTGAAAGTTAGAACCCCTTAGCTATTTCACCGAGGTGATTTTTTTTTTTTTACTTCTAGGAATTGAACCCAGGAGCACTTAACCACTGAGACACATCCCCAGCCCCACCCCCCCCCTTTTTTTTTTTTTATCAG